ATTTTTATATTTAATGGTAATTTATTATGTACTATTGTATTTCAATGTATTTTATCATGTTGTAAGCCGCCCCGAGGTTTCGGCAAGGGGTGGCATAGAAATGTTATAATAATAACAACAACAACAACAACAACAACCTTGGTGTCCAGAACTGGACACAGCATTCCAGGTGAGGTCTGACTAGTGAGGAGTATAGAGGAACCACTACTTCTCGCGATTTGGAAGGAATACTTCTTTGAATGCATCCCAAAATAGCATTTGCCCTTTTGGTGGCTACATTGCATTGTCGTCTCACATTTAGCCTGTTGTCCACCATTACTCCAATAACTTTTTCAGTTCTGTTGAGCCACTTATTCCACATCTTGTATCAATGCATTTGGTTTTTTCTTCCTAGGCACTTGGCACTTGTCCTTTATGGAATCTCCTCCTGTTGCTTTCAGCCCAGTGTTCCAGTTTATTAAGGTCGCCCTGGATCTTCATTCTGTCTTCTAGGGTGTTAGCTGTGTCACCCAGTGTTGTATCATCTGCAGATTTGATTAGCTTTCCTTGTACTTCCTAATCTAAATCATCAATAAAGATGTTGAAGAGCGCTGGGCCCAGGACTGAACCCCGTCGCACCCCACTTTTATTTTTCCTGGGAAGTGTAGGCAGTTTCCTAACTGCAGTATGTGATTAGGTTTGATCATTTTCTTTCTTTGCATACCGCCAGATCCACTGGTGACCTGCATTCCTTTCTGGCAAAGAAGTCCTGTTGAGGGGGCCGGACACCGCTTTGAACCAGCTCCATTCACGCAACACTTTCACGCACATATACATGCAGCACAAATGTTTCCAAGTTGTCCTTTCATTGAGTGGATCTGAACCCTATTTGTGCAGTCAATATTCAGAAAGTTGGGGTGCTGAAATAAGTTTTTTAGGCTCTCACAATATAGCATGGTAGACAATGTCTTTAGTTGCAGAACTTCTAAATAATTCATCTATGCTTGGGCAATACGCCAAGGTATTTTTCTTAGAAACACACATAATTGGGTCGGAATATAACTATGGCCTCCTCCCTTAACATTGACCTGCTTCAGTATCCTTAAAGCAGATGCTGAGAAATACCAGGGGTTGCATCATAACATTGCATCTCTCAGGAAAAGCTTTATAGGTAGACTCAGAATCAATATAGGTGTGTCCTGCTTTTTAAGGGAAAAGGCCTTTGTAAGGCAGCCCAATATTGGGTTGGTGTGCATGATCAGGTACAGTTGGCCATGTTGTCTGAGCCCAGGGGATTTGGCTTAAGGGGGAAACAGCCCTTAAATAACCCTATAACAGCCATTTATTCATTTGCTTATTTATTTGTTTATTGTAATGAATATGTTTTGCTCATGTAGACCTGGTCAGAATTTCTAAGCTAAAGGAAAAACAATTTATAACCATAAAATTCAGTTTAAAATGTCAAATGACTGAAGGGCATTATATGATTTAAGTGACTTCTGCTGCTGCTGCTTGTTTCCTCTACTGCCCAGGGTTGAGACTTGCATTTTCACTGTGCCCCGTGGCACTGAGTCACTGATGGTGATTTTCTGAAAAAATTTGGATCCAAAAACTTTCTGTTGCTTTGAATTTAAGATTTGGTTTAGCTTGTTTGTTTGACTTAGCATCTTTATTTATTAACATTATTTGCTGTATAAGCATTTTTGATTTTTCCAGTAGCATGGAGTATTTGATTTGAGATATTTATTAGGAAATTTGAATTGTCATATTTGAGAAATTAATTCAAGTAGTCAACATTTAATGTGATTTAAGTGAAGAGTCCTGCTCAACTCTCTATTTTGTAATCTTGAAGGATACAACAAAACACATACCTCTGATCCATACCTTGTCAGAGCAGAATGAAGGCACCTAAAATTATTAATATCTTCATACTTACATACTCATCTGATAAAAAGTTAATTACAGTGTTCTAACTGCCCAGGACAGAGCTGGAACTCTAAATGCCAAGCCCCTGCCCCCCCCCCCCCCCCC